TATAGTAGTGTAGTGTATAGTAGTGTAGTGTATAGTAGTGTATAGTAATGTAGTGTATATTAGTGTAGTGTATAATGTAGTGTATAGTAGTGTAGTGTATAGTAGTGTAGTGTATAATGTAGTGTATAGTAGTGTAGTGTATAGTGTAGTGTATAGTAGTTTAGTGTATATTAGTGTAGTGTATAGTAGTGTAGTGTATAGTGGTGTAGTGTATAATGTAGTGTATAATGTAGTGTATAGTAGTGTAGTGTAAAGTAGTCTATAATGTAGTGTATAGTAGTGTATTGTAAAGTTGTAGTGCCTCCATAGAGCCCAATGTGTTCACTTACCGGCCCTGTAAACGACGGGATGTTGTCGGTACAGTAAATATTAATGCATTGATTAACCATGTTTATATTAACATGTATTTATAACGGTGTTAGCATCTTTATGTATTAATATCCATTGTTTAAATATTATTAAGTACATTAATTTTGGTGAAAAAAGGATAACTTTCGATGGTATCGTAAATAATTAGTCCATTAACATGTATTTCCTATACTCGCTGTACGACCAAATCCCTTAACGACCGCTTTTGTGGAACCAATTACCGCCGTTAAGAGGAGTTTTACTGTATCCATCAAAGAAACGGGCTTTAGCAAAGACGCTATAAAATGCGTGTTTTGATAAACACTGGTAACTTGTTGGCGGTGGGATGTCCCAGTGGTAACACTTGTGCCTCAGCCTGACGTTCGTGGGTTTGATTCTCAACTCGGGCACCTTTCTGCGTGAGTTGTATGTGTTCTCCCCCTGTTCTGTACGGGTCTCCTTCCAGAGCTAAATAAAACACAATGTCACTGATATTGGCCAAACATACCAATGCTGAAAAATGTACCCGCACATTACTCAATTGGGATTGCACAAATCATCAACATAGTTTTCTGTTGCGTAAAAAAACACACTTGGCAGGAGCCTCCCATAGCTCTCAACCCCTTGTCAGTGCCCTACCTTATTACAGACCGATTCAGACCCTTATTGGTCACACCGTGCCCTTATAAATATCAACGTTCATCCTACAAAGTCACATCATAAGGGAAAAACACAAACAAATAGACAATCACCACTAGTACACCCAACCCCTACATACCTGTCAACCCCCTTATCCATGCCCTATCTTATTACAGACCAATGCAGACCCTTATTGGTCACACCGTGCCCCTTATAAATATCAACGTTTATCCTACAAAGTCCCATCACAAGTGAGAAACACAAATAAATAGACAATTGTGTTTGCCCGTATTGAAACGGCTGTACGCCGTACGGACCTGAAAACTCTATTTCCCTGTACAAGAATACGGGGTAAACGGTATGGGTTTGACAGGGATGCCCTCCTGTAAACGTCTTGAGACTCTTCAGTGCCTCCCCTGTGCACAAGCGTAATCATAATAATAACAACGGTGCCATGTGTTGTCATTGCCTATGCAACCTGTCTTGAATTGCCCCTCTGATCAGTCTCACTGTCTCGCACTTATGGCCGTGACCTTACTGATACCGCAGGAGCGGCCAACATCAAGGGTACTGTGAACGTCCGGCAGTGCCGCGCTCTTGCATTGTGCTTCTTCGACTCCGCGTTGCTTCCTCGATTCTGCGGCCTTGTGTGCACACACACACACAGAGAGAGAGAAAGATGACGGAGGGAGAGCTCCAGCAGAAGGCCGTTGAACTGTGGCCCACGACCTTTAAATTTATGCGCCAAAAAAAAAGGCCTGCAATGTGACCACGCCAGGTCACGGCTCGGACCTAAGAGACAGCACGGCTCCCCCTCGCTCTCGAAGTCGGGCACCTGAGTGCAACAAGGACAAATAAATGTGCATCCAATGGGTGATGAAACCAGTGCCAAGATTAAGTTAGTGCTGGACCTGTAGCATATGTTATAAAGGAGCCCTAAATAAAAAAAAACATAAATATGAAAACACATTTTTTACTTGCATAGTAAAGTAATTGTATTTTTTTTCATTTGCTATACAACCAGATAATACGACAAATTGCTAACCTTAAGCACCCAGGCGTTCATAAAAGTTGAAGGCGGTATAGTACTATAGTAATAAAGCAAGTGCAGAATCACTGAACCGGAATTGATAGCTTGAAAGCATTTAGCGCGGGGCCCTTGAAAGTGCGGGGACTGTAGCTACTACTACTACATGTGTAGTAGCTACAGCTACATATGTAGTAGTAGCTACTACTACATATGTAGCTGTAGCTACTCTTGCTTCTATGATAATCCAGCACTGGATGGAGCGTTGACGCTGTCAGGCGCCTCGTTTGTGGAACGCATTTCCTCCCAGATCCGTTGGGGACGCTCCGTCAGTCGGGGTTTTCAGGGCTCGTCTCAAAATACATTTATTTTCTCGTGCGTATCCGTCTGCGTTGGGGGTTTTTCCCCCTCTTAGTTTTAACGTTAAGGGTTCTTTTTTTACTGCGAATCTGTTGTTAAGCGCCGTGAGGCCTTGTGCGAATTGTGCTATATAAAACTGAGTTTTACTTACTTTACTTCCACGCCCCATGCTCTGACTTTCACATCGGTGGTTTGCACACCATCAAATATCATTAGTTATTATAAATAGCCACTGATTTACCTTTAATGATTTCAAATATCCGTAATACAAGCCAATCCATTTTGCATTACAACTTAGGTTTACTCTTTAGATTCGAATATCCAATTATCGCCCCACGTGGCTCTCTGAGCTGAAAGTAACGAGCCCGTTTAAGCAATTCCATCTATCTGAAAGGGGAAATGCCTCATTGTACCCAGTTCTTGACCAACTGCTGACCACGCTGCCTCTATTGCGGCGTTTCTCAAACTTTTTGGGTCCACGGACCGCCCAGCCAATGCAAACATTTCCACGCACCACCCAGCCCCGCAGCTATCATGTTTTTTTTGTAGGGGTGGAATTCAGATGTTAGGATGAGGCTAGTTTAATCGGGGTATCATGGGACCTCCCTTGCCAGTATCAAATATAAGAACAGGATTTACTCAGTTCTGGCAATAAAACAGATGTGTTAAGATGTCAAAACACCAAACTGTTCAAATGCCTTTGTGCTGTTCGCCTTTTGGCGACCTCTGGTCTGATACTGTTTGAGACGAGGCTCTAAACTCTAAAGAAAGCTGTCTCTGGTGTGGGCCAATCAGTTTTTAAAGAGAATGCATATGCAATCAGAGCATGCTTTTGTTTGCATGTTCACCACAAGTATATGTGGTTAATGCAGACAGGATTCCTTGCAAAAGGTTTCAGTTTGGTGTTTTCAACATCTTAACACAACTGTTTTATTGTCAGAAAGGGTAAAACCTATCCTTATATGAATCAGGGAAGTTTACCCAACTTCATTTTTCAATAAAAAAAACATCATGATTAAAATATGAATTAATGTCCGAAACATTGTTATTATTATTCTTGTTATTCTTTGGGCCTTTCGGTGAAGTCACGTAGATAGGTTTTCCTGTGTTGCGATCGAAACGTCGTCGTTTTTTTGTTACTTTCTTTGAACCTACCGACGTGACTTTACCGAAAGACCCAAAGAATATGAATTCCCTGCAGTCACGAAAGCTTTAAGTCACGATTGTTATTATTGTCCGGATCAACCTGCATTTGCATCACAAAACCTGGAGGACGGTCGCGGTCGACTTGTGGGACTTGGGACCACACTTTGAGAACCACCGCTCTCTGCAATCCCAGTTCCTACCCATGTCACCACTGTGCAACGTCAGCTCTCTCGTCACTAGAGGGGGGCAACGAAGAATAAACAAACCAACAAAAAATATCAACGCACTCGTCAACAACAATGCAACCGTAGGGGCCGTCCATAAATGACGTCACGTACCTAGGGGAAAGGGGGAGGGGTCAGATATTTGTGACGATGTGTGACGAGGTGGGGGGGGGGGTTGAGAAATGTGACGTCACATCAAAATGCGCAACTTTAAATAAATATAGACAACACGTTCTACTTAATTAAATAGACTTTTTTTTATAAATGTTTTCTTCTACAACATCAGGGTGCAGCGCCACATTAAATACGCACTACAATGACAATAGTTTAAAGCGATTTGAAGCATGTTTTATATTACTTTTTTGGGGGGGGGGGGCAGAGTTTGTGACGTCATATTTGAGGGGGGGGGGTCTGACTTTTTGTGACGCCGTGTGACCATGAGGGGTGGGGGGGTCAAAAATCGTCCAAAATCGCGTGACGTCATTTATGGACGGCCCCTTAAAATAAAATATATTCGACTAAGTTTCGTCACTAGAGGGCGCGATCATACGCACAACACTATCACGAACATTGATAAACACACCAGTTAGATTTTACTTGCCCTGCATTTTTTCCAAGTCAGTAGTATAATATAATAAATCATTGTGAGAACCGGCTGACATTGCCACGCTCTAAGTCTGTGGTGACTATTTTCATTCAAGAATAATGAAAATGTTAATTGTGGCATAATCGCAGTTACTATACCTCTCTGTAAAGTTACAAAATCATAACGAGTCACGCATGTGGGCTGTGCAAATGGCTATTTCCAAAAGTATAAAGAATAACATTTCGATTTAAAGCTTTCGTGACTGCAGGGATTCATCTTCTTGAAACATTGGAGCGCTGTCTGTTTCTTCACCTGAGGAAGGCTACTTGTGTTGTGGCCGAAACGTCGTGAGAATTTTATTTTATTATGTTTTATTTTTCTAATTTTATTATATCCCTTCTACGTGACTTTACCGAAAGAACCAAGAAGATAAAGAATTACGTATACCTACAGGACTTTGTGTGAAAGAACAGATTCGGCATGTCTTGGCCAATGCAAAGGCATAATTTATCAGAGCACGTTTGTTTGCATGGTTTTTTTGCCACACGTGTGTGGTTAATGCAGACTTGATTCCTTGCTAAAGCTATACATCCATTCTTGACTTTGAACATCTCAGCAGCTACTTTATTGCAAGAAAAGGTTTTTTTTTTTAACTCCCTATTCTTACTTTTCATCACTTTCCTCCAAGCGTGAAATGCGGGCAAGTTGAGACATATTAGTAGTTGCCGCTGCATATTCAAGGGGTCAACAGTGCCATTGGGCAAAGGCGAACAGCGTCGTTGATTGTGTCATAAGTGGGATGGTGAACGCCGTCTTTGGCATCCGAACCAAAAACGTCTGCACTTCCTCATACGCTCGCTCAGCGCACAAACGGAGCACACGGGAATCCTGTCATCTGATGCGTGACTAAACATGGGCACAAAAATGTAAGTGTGGCTGTTTTTTTTTTGCTGCTGTTGTTGCTGTTGTTGTTGTATCATTGCTTAAAATCGTACTCTCTGTAACGTGCTATGATAATGCTGCCGTGCGTGTGTGTCTGTGTTCGTGGTGGTGTAGAGAAACAGACGTCTCTCTTATTCTTGGTTCTTTCGGTAAAAGTCACGTAGAAGGGAAACAATAAAATAATAAAAAAAATATAAAGCAATGAAATTCTCACGACGTTTCGATTGCAACACAAGCAATCATCATCATCAGGTGTGAAAACCACATCAAGTCACGAAAGCTTTAAAACGAAATTTAGACGCCTCTCTGTTACTAACGCAGACCTTTGCAACGTGGTATCAGTCAGCGATACGGAATCACTGCTCCTCTGAAAACACGACCTAAGTCGCATCCTTTTCCTACCTGCCTTGTTGCATTGTAACAATCGATGTTAGTATATTCCCTTCTAAACCCCCCTCCTCCCTCCCAAAAAAAGCTCTCCTTCAAGTTACTCTCAAGCAAACGTTTTAGATGCGGCCACAGTAAGATATGTATGTTGAACTTCTTTCGCACCGTACGTCGCCAACCGAGCTAATTACACTTTTTTTTCTCTCTCTTTTAATACCGTATGAATGTCTGTGCTTCTGCATGCGTGTGTTCTCCTGTTTGTGCCGAATGTGTGTGTGTGCGCGTTTATGATGGGTTGCACTGTACGGAACTCAAAAACACGTGGGAAGAGTTTAAATCGCTCCCTTCTAAGTCTGTATTTTCGAGTGACAAGCGCGACGCACAGCTTTCCCGAAGCGCGTGCTGCACACTCTCTCTCTCTCTTGCCTTTGGTAAATAAAAAGAAAAAGTATGCGTGGTGAACTTCTTTCACACCGTACGTAGCCGTCCCTGCCAATGGGCGGTGCGGGGGAACGCACAAAGCAGTTCCAAACGAACGAGACGTGAGTTTTCAATTTGATTGACGCGTCGTCATGTATTATTAACTTTTTTTGTTTGTTTAAACAGCCCTTGCATTACAGTCATATTTTTTTCCCCGGAGATTTGCTCCTTTTTTTTAAGCATTTGTTTTCCAACCGAGGTCTTTCTCCCTGCCGAAACAAGATTTTCTTTGCCATTCCCGCAAATAATCCGAGACTTTAAACACAGGAGACCCCCCCCCACACACCGCTTGCTGTGTATCCTAATTTGAGCAGGAATCCCACTCTGACATCTAGCTGGGGACCCCCCCCCCCGTCCGCTCAGCTCGGTGTTAGGATTGCGTTCCTAATGCGTTCCTAATGCACGTGCGATGTTTAATTCATCAGCAGCAACATCATCGTCAACAGCGGCTGTATCATGCCCCGTTTATTGATCTCATTCCCCTTTTAAAATGATAAAAAAAAATCCCGTTTAATTATCTCATTCCGCTTTTAAAATGATCAAATTTCCCGTTTAATGATCTCATTCCGTAGCCGACCTCCGATGCAGCCCGCGTGGCTGCGTGCGGCGCGAAAGAGGTCCGACGCACTCCCGCACGCGACGATGGGGTGCCCGCAATGAATTCTCGCCACGCTTGCCTCTCTCTTTATTGCCTCTCTCTTTATTGCCTCTCTCTTCATTGCCTCTCTTCTTCATTGCCTCTCTCTTTATTGCCTCTCTCTTCATTGCCTCTCTTCTTCATTGCCTCTCTTCTTCATTGCCTCTCTCTTCTTCATTGCCTTTCCCTTCCTCATTGCCTCTCTCTTCTTCAGTGCCTCTCTTCTTCATTGCCTCTCTCTTCATTGCCTCTCTTCTTCATTGCCTCTCTCTTCTTCATTGCCTCTCTCTTCTTCATTGCCTCTCTTCTTCATTGCCTCTCTCTTCATTGCCTCTCTTCTTCATTGCCTCTCTCTTCATTGCCTCTCTTCTTCATTGCCTCTCTCTTTATTGCCTCTCTCTTCTTCATTGCCTCTCTCTTCTTCATTGCCTCTCTCTTCTTCATTGCCTCTCTCTTCATTGCCTCTCTCTTCTTCATTGCCTCTCTCTTCCTCATTGCCTCTCTTCTTCATTGCCTCTCTCTTCTTCATTGCCTCTCTCTTCATTGCCTCTCTCTTCATTGCCTCTCTCTTCTTCATTGCCTCTCTCTTCTTCATTGCCTCTCTCTTCTTCATTGCCTCTCTCTTCTTCATTGCCTCTCTCTTCTTCATTTCCTCTCTCTTCTTCATTGCCTCTCTCTTCATTGCCTCTCTCCTCTTCATTGCCTCTCTCTTTATTTGGCAAGTTCCGTCGTGCTGCTACGCGAGCGCACTGCTTTGAGGCGTCGTGGAAAATTCGAAACCCGCCGGTTCGCCGCTCTCGGCCAACGCTGCTGTTGAAGGTATCTGAACCCCCGCGGTGTGTCCTCCACCCCCCCACCCCCCGAGATTGACTCGGCATGGGTGCAGTGTGTGAACATCAAGCCGTCGGGGGAGACAAAGGCGGCCCGACAATGGTTCTTGCCACATCGCCCCGTTCATTTCGGCGCTAGCCGGCAGCACTCGCCACGCTACGTGGGGGGGGGGGGGGGTGTGTGTTTGTGGGTGTCATAGTGAACGTTGGTGTGTGTGTGTGTTTGAGCGTCTATACGCGTGTATAATAAGTGCGTGTAAGTGTGAATGTGGATGTACATTCTGTGTGTAGGTGTGATGGCAAGCCATTGAACACAAGGCGGTCACTGCATCGCTCGCTCCTTCAGATCGGCTTCTGTGTGCGGTCGTCAGCGGACGCTCTTCCACCCGATATTTGGAAGCCACTGGAGTTGTGCACTTTCAAATAATCGAGATTGAAAACTCACTTCTTTTAGAACTGCTGTTTGTATCCAGTCTGATGTCCTTCCCCCGCACCTGCGATTAGCACCGATAACTACGTACGGTGCGAAAAATGTTCAACATACGCTCAGTCTCGCTATCTGCGTTTCTCTCTTCAAATCTCCTTTTCCTTTCAACTTTTGTATGCCTCGCCCGGGTACGGGATGTTGGTTCCGGACCCATTCTCGTTCACGTGATCATTATCAGCTGTAGCAGGTGATTTCTGTTTTCCGAACAGAGTCACGCAGTAACATTGTTATCGGCTTTGACGTTGTCGCTTCTTGACCCCTTTGGGTAAAAGTTAGCTGTATTTGTTTTTCGGTTTCGCATTGGGTGTGGCATTCTTGTTGACTGCCATATATAATTACTGCACTGAATTTTCCACACGTTTATAGACACAGCATGAACAGCAGTTGCTCGTGTCTCATGCTATTTTTATTTTTTATTTACAAACAGGAATTTGCTCGTGTTTGCCACGACGCTTCTCTGCGTGGTGCAGCTGCCGCAAGCTTCTACGCAAAACTTGGACAATCCATACTGTTCGTACGACGACCATCAACAAACTGCTGACTGCTCAGACCGTGACTTCACGGCCGTGCCTCAGGGACTGCCGGCCACCGTCACCGTCCTAGACTTGTCTCACAATCGGATCGGTGCGATTCGACTCGGAGATTTCTCCAGCACTCCCAAGCTCGAGGTTCTCATCCTGGCTTTCAACCGAATTGGCACGATCGAAGCAGGTGCGCTGAGAGATGTTCCCCTGGTCCGCTACCTTGACCTTTACCAGAACGAGCTGCCTGCAGTACCTGAGGGGGCTCTGATTGACCTTCCTAACCTGCAGACCCTCAACATCTCCATGAACAACTACACCTCCTTTGCCCTTGGCGGAGCCTTCTCCAGAATGAGTCGGCTGCAGTCACTCTCCATCGGCACATCCCACACGTCAGAGCTGAAAGCTGCTGACTTGCAAGCCCTCTCAAATATTTCATTGACATATTTGGGCCTGAACACTGGCTCTCCGTTATTACGTTACGAATCTGGATCCCTCGTCTATTTCCGATCACTGAAAACGTTCTTCATGAATTTTTCTGTGGACGGAAATCCGTCCATTTTTTCCAAAGTCCTTATAGATCTGAATACATCTCAAACTACACAATTGGAAACATATCAAATATTGATCGAGCCCTTAAAAAACCGCAGTTTTGAATTGTTTCACGGTCTTAGCTATTGTCAGTCACTGAGAGAGATCATCATTGTCAATGCTAATTTCTCAGACAGTGAAGCCACAAACTTCATCAAAAACATGTATCTGTCAAACCTGAAAATGGTTGTGTTCACAAATTCTTCCTATAATGACAAAGGGCCTGTTGTGTTCCTTGGGATTAAGGGAGTCAACAAAACTGCCCCTTTAAAAAGGCTGGTGATCGATGGGGTATTTCATCTGAATATGACTTACCCTTTATTTCTTATTAATTTCACCCTGTTTCCCAATCTTACTGAGTTCAAAATCTCCAACACAGGCATGAATAAAGTAGCCTGTTTGTTTTTGAAAATTGCAGCAATTACATGGCTCGACTTTTCCCGAAATCTTTTAGATGAAACAGGCCTGTGGTGGGAATCGTGTAATTACACCGTTATCCTACCCAATGCTGAATATATGGATATAAGTCACAATCACTTCAGGCACCTAAAGATAATATCCAGCATGGTTTCCCTAATGCCCAAAATCAAGTCTTTAGACCTTAGTTATAATTATATCAACGACATCTATGAGTGTTCATGGCCTAATACTCTTCAAAAACTTAACCTACGTAATAATGACATCACCAAAAGTTCAAAAATCTGCACTTCAAAGTATTTGCAAGCACTCGATCTCTCCTACACCAGGCTTGAAACATTCCCTTACAATATCCTCGCAGAAGCAACATCGTTGAAAGAACTTTACCTCAGTGGGAACAACATCCGACACATCAATCCACAGATAGGCTCCGCGTCTCTACAAGTTTTGTACATGGACGACAATGCCCTGGGCATCATTAGAAAAGGTACGTTTGAAAATCTCCAGGCCGCGAGGTCTCTCAATTTGAAAAATAATCCCTTCTACTGCTTTTGCGATCTCTACTGGTTTCGAAAAAAATTCAACAAGTCGCTGCTGATGGACTGGCCAAACGGTTACACGTGCAGTTACCCCGATTACCTTGCAGACAGCCCACTGGAGGTTTTCAGCCCAAGCTACGTCGCATGTGACAGGAACATCATCATCATTCTTAGCGTCGTCATCACGGCATGCGTGATTGGCATCACTGCAGGGCTCAGCTACCACCTTGACGCCGTATGGTACATACGCATGGGCTGGATATGGGTTTCAGCAAAGAGACGGCGTTATAATAGGCTGAACGACGGTGAGACCTCAACGTTCCAGTACCACGCGTTCATCTCCTACAGCCAGCTGGACTCGGATTGGGTGGAGAACACCCTGGTGCCCACCTTAGAGAGCTCCAACCCCGACCTCAAGCTGTGCATCCACGAGCGAGACTTCACGCCCGGAGAGTGGATCGTGGACAACATCATCCAGTGCATCGAGCATTCCAACAAGACCCTGTTCATCCTCTCGCGGAACTTTGTCAACAGCGAGTGGTGCCACTACGAGCTCTACTTTGCGCAGCATCGGGTTCTGGAGCAGCGGCAGGACTCGCTGGTGCTGCTGCTGCTGGAGCCGCTGCCCAGGAATTCCGTGCCGAGCAAGTTCTGCCGGCTTCGGAAGCTGCTCAACAGGAAGACTTACCTGGAGTGGCCAGCCGAGGAGGGCAAGCGGTCAATGTTCTGGGCCAGCCTCCGGGCTTTGCTGCAGTCGGACAACCGTCCGCTCGAATCTAGCCCTGACCCCGATGCTTAGCTTTCAAATGGTGTGGAGGAGGGGGGAGGTGGAGGAGGGGGGAGGTGGGGGGGGGGGGGGTTTAAGTATGTTCTTGCTGTTCTTTGTATTTTCCACATTTTGAAATGGAGGGCACCTCCAGATATATATAACTTACCAAATCAGTTGCACTGTGAATTACCAAGAGTAACTGATGTCACTGATGACAATATGCTTGTTATTTCAGAACTGGTAATATGATATCAGATTAGTGTGAGATTATATATGTAGTCTCGCTGTTCTTTATGTTTCGTGTCAGCTCTCTGCGATGGTCAGCTGCTTGAAGGTTATTGATCGCTTAATTTGATTGTCTTCTCTCCATGTTTTTATATCTCTTCGCGTTTTCAAAGTTTTTTTTGTCAGTATTACACGTGCTTACTAAACGAGATCAAGATATTTCCTGCAGGTTGCTTGTGTAAATAAATTAGAAGATAGCGCGATATAGAGCTGCATTGTGGGTAGCAGAGATCATAAAATGCCATTGTTGCACTCTACTTCTATGCTCCCACGTGTATGCGCCCCACAATCGGCAACCCACACTAGCCAGTGTGGTGAATCGTGGTAAAAAATAATCCCCCATAACCCAAAGGGCGTTGGTATAAGGCCCTCGTGCAGTGGTTTGTTGTCAAAAGAGCTGGCCAGTTGCGCAAATAGGGCCAATAATTCGAGCTCTGAAAGTGCAGTTCAATAAAACGTTGCTTGGGCTTAACGCATTTATTATGAACCTGTATTATTGGCCGTAAAGTTTGGGGTAGACAGTTTAAACAGCTTATTTTTACACATTGCTTCGTGTGTTTTTTTCATTTTACTTTAGCAGTGCATTTTTATTAACAATCGTCAAACTAATTTACGACGAATGTGTCAATCTGAAAATTCTTAAACCATCTTATTTCAAATCATGCGAGGATAAAACGCGCTTGTTTTCGACAACAGATCACCACCTTTATAAAATTGCTTACGCTATGAGAAATACGGTAGTCGTCATCTCCCAAAGCAGGTGACATTTTGTAAATAACATGTGAAGAAGGGGCATTGTCTGAAATATCACCTCTCATAAATGTTTTTCCCTTTTCATGCTACAGTGTTATTCACGAAGGTGATGAGTTTGTTATTTGTTCCCCGTGCACCACTGCCAATGGAGCACCAGCAAATTAGAATGTATTTTAATCTCCCAAAAGCAGTGAGTGCAGGAGATTCCCCCGCTTTTTCGCGGTAATGTGCAAGACGTAGCGGCGGTTTACCTCTGAGTTTACCCCACCTATCCTAGCTGAAGGAAAACAGAGGATAATCACGGACGAGAGGAACGGAAGCGTGGATAATTATCGGGTCGGCGACCAAAAAAACAAGAAAAGTCAATTTTTTTTCTTCACAGTCGGTACACATAACACGAACAAAACCCCTCTAAATATTTAAATATATTTATTTTTGTTTTACGTCGGCCGCAGTCCCTCGCGGTTTCAAACCTTCCACGCCGCCGGCGGTCGTCGACCATCGATCGAATCGGGACCTGGCATGGCCGGTGCGGCCACCAATCCCAAACGATCGATCCCCCCACGTTGTACGCAGCCGCCGTCCTTCACTCCTTTCAAGGAGGGGCGAGGGGGCGAGATCCGCTCTGGATAACAGATAGAAAAAAAGAAATTAATTTCCATCTTTAATTTGCTGCTACGAATCCACGCGAAAGAAGATGTTCGTGAGCCGCAATGCTACGAAGCCGCAGTTCCTTAAAGAGCCGGCCGCAGGTCAGCTGATCCCTTGCCCCCAGACCCGACAGCTCCCGCAGGTAATAGGAGTCGCGGATAAGAGCAGTGCCGGATGAAGCTAGTGCGGGGCCTGTAGCATATGTTATAAAGGAGCCATAAATAAATACAAAATTAAATGTTAAAACACATTTAAAAATTTTAACTTGCATAGTAAAGTAATTGTATTTTTTCATTTGCTATGCAGCCAGATAATACGACAAATCGCTAACCTTAAACACCCAGTCGTTCTTAAAATTCGAAGGCCGGTATAGTACTATAGTAATAGAGCAAGTGCAGAATCACTGAACCGGAATTGATAGCTTGAAAGCGTTTAGCACGGAGCCCTTTAAAGTGCCGGGCCCGTAGCATATGCAGCTACTTTTGCTCCGAGGATAATTCGGCGCTGGATAAGAGGGTTTGCGGATGATAGGGGTTCAGGTTGCGTTTTGCCAATGTGCAGCGAGTGGTCGAGTTGAACCCGCTTCACTGTGTACGCGTGACAAATCTCTGTTGCGTAAATAAAGCGAATCCTAAACTGTGTTAAAATTATTTTTAAGTAATCGTGTTTTTTAAAATATCTTTAACACTGTATGCACTCAACATGCTTCATCGCAAAATTTGTAGTAATTTCACATTCATAATGACTGTACTTTGAACTACAAACGTTGATAAGTACGGTATATAGCGCTTATGGAACACGCTGTAAATGCTATGCTGTGTAATAAAGAATTATTATTATGTTACCTTTGTACGTGTATAGTACCATACCTGTCGACCCCTTATCAGTGCCTTCCTTATTATACACCAATTCAGACCCTTATAAATCTCAATGTTCATCCTACAAAGTTCCATCACAAGGGAGAAACGCAAACGAATAGACAAAAACATTTTTATTGCCCGCATTGAAACGGCTGTTACGCCGTACGGACCTGGTACTTCAATTCCCCTGTACAATCTAGATTTGAAGTTTTCGTGACTGCAGGGATCCATACTCTTTGGTTCTTTCGGTAAAGTCACGTGGTAGGTAGAAAATAAAATAAATTAAATCACGACGTTGCTGCTATACGTGACTTTACGGAAAGAACCAAAGAGTAGGGGTCCTCTGTACAAGAAAGAACGCGGGGTAAGCCGTATGGGGTTGACAGGTTTGCAGAACTCCGCTTTGTTTTACTGTTTGAAATGACCGTACGTGGAACTGCCGATGCATACAACAAGTATGCGTCAACACTTTACAGGATTTGTGTTTGTGTCCCACACAATAAATTACCTTTGTTCCCTTCGCTTTCTTCCGTTTGCGACACCACACACACACACACACATGCGGTTTTGAGTTGACGTGTAACCACAATTTCCAGACTTGCCTACCATTTCCATACCGCACGGTACTTTCTAAGCCAGTCATTTGGAATACTTCATCGTGTATTCTATGTTTTGTACGCATTGTTTCACTAACGCGTAGTTAATATAAGTCAAATAAAACTAAACATTTTTTGTTTGTTTTACCAGGTATTAAAGGCCCACTGAACTGTAATGTACAGATCTTATTCAGAAGCCTGCTGGCCACAAATTACAGCTCAACAAAGTGACTCATCATGTGGATATTTATAGCAGGCCGATACTCTGAACGCATGTTTCACAGTATTAATGATATTATATTATTAGACTGTACAAAACTTGCTCGGGCAGCTCTTAAATATGCTTAATCACTGCATTTCAAAATATTATTTGCGGTTTGAGTCCCATTTAAAGCTGACATGGAGTGACACAACACAGGCACCAGGCACCCTCATCAGCAGTGATTCCTCCTGCCTGTACTCGGCAGGGTTGAAGGCTTCTCAAAAGCCTTGCAACCATCTCCATCTCTCATCTGGTGCAAACCATCAGGCACATCACCGATGACTGCCCCAAACACAACACTCGCATTCTGGTGGAAGAAGCGGACTCCCACTCGGGCTACTTCGGATGCCGTGGAACGGCTTACAAAGTAAAACGTACAATTGCAGTCGGTGTGGTTTTTTTTCTCAAACGTCGTACAAAAGAAAAAGACGAAGTTTGAAATGTCATAAATACATCAAAGACATAGATCCCCTCGCCCCCCCCCCCCCCCCCCATTGCCTTTGCCAGACTGTTGGGGCAAGTTCTGTTAGCGAGCAGCACCTATGAAGGCTACCGGCACTGTGGCATACGAGAGGGGGTGGGGTGGCCAGTGCCACGCCCGGCCGCCTTTGTCTCCCCAGTGGCGATGTTTGCAATACACACCGCACTCGGCACTCATTGGAGGCCGAGTCGACCTCGGGGTGCAGCGCGCTGCCCGCTAAACTACCGCTCCCCAGAAATGCATCTAGCTCCTGCCACACGAGCAATGTTACGTGATGTATGTTGAACTTATTACGGTGCGCACGTAGCCAACCGTGCTAATTGGAGGTGGTGGGGGGGGGGGCGAAGGACAACAAACTAAACACGAAAAGCAGATCCAAAGAAATGAGTTTTCAATTCGGATTATTTAAAGGTGCGTAGCTCCAGTAGCTTCCTAATGTCGTGGGGAAGAGCATTCCAGACGGCCGCAGAAGCGCATCTGAAAGCGCGCGATGCGGTGACCGTCTTTTTTTCCCGATGGCTATCCCGCCTGAAGGTGTGTGACGAGGGGAAACAAGTGGTAGGGGTCCATTAATTGGGGGTCACATTACACCTGAACCACCCTGTACATTTGGGGTCACAATCCATCTGCACCACCCTGTACATTGATGCAAGGAACGTCGCAGCCTTTTCTCGTGTACTCAGGGCGGCGATCGCTAAAGCAGAACACGTGACAGACAAACATCGGATCACATGATGAAAAAAATTAGCAATAGGTTTTTACTCTCTCTGGCAATAAAACAGGTGTTAAGAGGTTCAAGCACCAAATATAAACTTTTGGCAAGGAATCAAGTTCTCATTAACCTGCTCACCCCGAGCTATAATTGCTCTGATAGTACATTGTCCTTGTACTGTTCGCCTATTGGCGTTCTCTAGTCGGCCACTGGTCAGACGAGGCCATCAAGAAGCCTGTCTCTGGTGTAGGCCAATCAGTTTCAAAGACAATGCTTGAACATCTTAACACCTTTTTTATTTCGAGAAAAGGTAATATCTCTTCATTTTTTTATCATATGATACTGGCAAAAAGGTCCCATGATAGGGCTGTCTTCCACTGCTAACAACATCCAATACACCGGTTTTTTCTTTAGCTTGGTGGTCGTCAATTCAATCACTGCCCAGGCCAG